TATAGTCTCAGTTTTAAAAATACCCCTTTGTTTACCGAGTCACTTTTTTCATTATGTCCACGAAGAGGAAGGTTACATGTACCACATAATTTTAAGATATCTATAATGTTTTAAAGAAGCAATCAAATTTTCCTAACTGTTTCGTTATGACTATTTATTTGTTCCGCATAAGCACTACTTAAACAAGAAGCAATATTTACTCTTCCTAAAAGTAAAAAAACTCACCAACTTATTTTTGTGTTTAGGAGAATTTTCATCTTAATCTTGTCTGGTAAATGTTTCAAGTCAGAAACTGCAGATTTCGTCCAGTTTTCTTCGCTTCCTCCAAACAATAAACATACAAAACCAAAAATTCTATTTGTTTCGTCACAACCACACAACATAAATGTTTTTATCAAATTTGCGATTAAAAGCCGGCCTACTTTTGCACTCTTTCTGCACCTGAACTAAATTCAACACTGGCATTGGACGTCCGTTATTTTTCAATTCGACTTTTTCCTCTAAACTTAAATTACTAATAACAAGTTTTTTTATTTCACAAACCCTCATTTTAAACTTAAACTTATAAAATATAATGTCTTAAAAAGCGCCAAAGCAAAAACAAAACACGTATAACCACACTTCAGTGATATGGGTTACTGCCTCATGGAGTCCAAAACAATGTGGGCGAGACTATCGTCGCCTATCCCCTCCATGTGCCAATTTATCCAATCATATGTAAAAATATGCTTGCACGATGGACTCAAGATTTCACAGTCCGCAATGGAGTGGGGATTGCGCGCGCGGTCGAACATAACTCTTTGGTACGATCATAGATGGCAGATGGCATTAATCTGTGCTACGTTCACGGAGTACACGCACTTTATGCAACCAACCTAACATCCAAGAGATATTGAATGCATGCTATTTAGATTTCTTATTGATTTAAATAAATACATTATTTTAAGTATATAGTTTGAAAATATCTGGGGGGGAGGGGCGGAGTCCCAGAGTCCTCCTTCACGAGCCGCCACTGGGTAGGAGTATTAGTAACATACATTTCTGACCATTTTTTGTTTGTTTTTAGACTATCTCTCTGGAAGAAAGTAATTTTTGTCTAAAAGTGACTTCTTTTATGTTTTTTGACACACTGACTTTGAGTTATTGGATTATAAAGTCTAAAAAAATTAGGGGAATTAAAACGGGCCATATTTTGACCACATTTTGCCCTTTTCGCTATATTTCTCTGAAAAATAGGATAATTCTCTATAAGAATTTATTTTTATGTTTGTTGACATACTGACATAGATTTTTGTTATACTGAAAAAGAATAAAATTACCTTATTTCTTTGGAAAGTAGAATATTTGACTAGAAGCTAATTTTTATTTTTTGATCGTCTGGCTTCAATTTTTGAAGACTTGAATTTAAAAAAATCTGGGTGATGAGATCTGACCATATTATTTTACCATTTTTTGGCATTTTTTGATCACATTTCTCTGGTAAAAATGATATTTGTCTAGAAAAAACTGTTTTTATATTTTTTTTACATCATAATTGTGATTATTGGGATCCTAAAGTACAAACAAATTTGGGTTGCAAGTACTGGCAATTTTTTGACAATTTTTTAGGATTTTTTGACATCAAGTTCCAAATCTAACATAGCCTAAGGTGATCAGCACCAAATCTAACAACTGTAAACCTAACATATTTGCTTAATTAATTTCTTAGGTGCCAAAAAATTGACAAAATATGGCCAGTTCTTACAACACAAATTTGTTTGTATTTTACGATCCCAACAATCGAAATTATGTATGATGTCAAAATACATGAAAACAGCTTTTTCTAAACAAATATCATTTTTACCAGAGATGTGGTCAAAGAATGTCAAAAAATGGTAGAATAAAATGATCAATCTGTTCATACTAATTTTATTAGTCTTCAGGACAACAAAAATCTAAGTCAGTATGGCAATAAACATAAAAATAGAATCTTATAGAGAAATGTCCTTTTTTCCGGAGAAATATGGTCAAAAAGGTAAAAAAAATGGCCCGTTTTAATTGCCCTAATTTTTTTAGACTTCATAATCCAATAACTCAAAGTCAGTATATCAAACATAAAAGAAGCTACTTTTAGACAAAAATTCATTTTTTCCAGAGATATGGTCTAAAAACCAAAAACATAGTCAAAAATTTCTGTTACTAATAGTCCTACCACTTTTGCCCAAAATCGAAAAGCTTAATATTAGATTGGGGTATTTTCCATGGATAGATGATTTTAAGCTAGGTACTGAACTATTTTTTTTTAATTTCTAATTATAATCGTCATTTTGTGGCCGCCATTTTGAATATCGTTTATTCGAAAGCTTTTGAGTATATGAACATTTTGAGACCTTAAACATATTTCTTCCTTGCTTTTACTTTTGTAGAGAACAGTGTCGCAGTTGACATGGAATGTCCCATATATTTGGTGACACGGTCTATAAGGAAAAGCAAAACACTCAATATTAGAATAAGTATCTGTTTACATCACCTATTGTGTGAATTTGTTTTTCTCCATAGTTATATATATAGAATGGCATCAAATTCTATTTAGTAGTGCATTTGTTAGTCAAAGCCAACTCCGTCCTTTATTTACATTTGGAAAGAAGAAGCCGATACAACTTTTTTATTTCTTGAGATAAATGTGACAGCCAATATTTTTAGAAAGTGCAGAACACCTTCTGTTTACATCACCGATTGTGTGAATTTGTTTTTCTCGATAGTTAGATATATAGAATGGCATCAAATTCTATTTAGTAGTGCATTTGTTAGTCAAAGCCAACTCCGTCCTTTATTTACATTTGGAAAAAAGAAGCCGATACAACTTTTTTATTTTTTAAGATAAATGTGACGGCCAATATTTTTAGAAAGTGCAGAACACCCTCATTTTAACAAGGCTATAATTTCCATTTAAAAAATACAACTATGATCTATAAGTTAAAAACCATTAGTTACTAAAAGGTTAAGTAGTAGATTTTATGTGAAAAAATACATTTCAGAAAAAATATAACTGTACACACTTGAAGAACACGGGCCGACAAAAAAAAAATCGTGTGTTTTTGACATGTGACTCTACCTATCTGAAAATTTTCTGCTGAATCCGAAAATTATAAAAAAAATTATGACATGAATTCCCGTTCACACCCTCAATTCCCTACCAAAAATTAAAAATATCGAAACCAGTCATCCAACCCGCCTATCTTTAGTAAAATTTTCCGCTGAATCCGAAATTGATAAAAAAAAATTCTGACGTGTGGATTTCCCTCCACACACCCTGAATTCCCCTCAAAAACTAAAATTAAAAAAATCCAAACTATACTCCGCGGTCGAAATTATAGAGAGTGACTCAGACATAATATAAAAACTATTACCATAATACGTATAAAATATAAAATAATTTTTATACGGTTCAATATTATTTATCTTTGTGCCGCTTACTACGCACATCGATAGAATCTATAATGTTTTATTATCTTTTTTCAATATTTTCTATATCTTGTTGCCTTTTACGTAGACACGCCAATGGTTTTCGTTCCCGGCACGCTTCATCCCTTTATTAGTCCAAAAGCTAGCGATGAGTCACTCTCTATAATTTCTACCACGGAATATAGCCATCCAACCCACCTATGTTTAGTGAAATTTTCCGCTGAATCCGAAAATGATAAAACGAAAATTTTCTGAGGTATGGATTCTCCCCTACACACCCTCATTTCCCCGCCAAAAATTAAAAAAATCCAAATTAGCCATCCAACCCACCTATCTCTAGTAATATTTTCCGCTGAATCCGAAAATGATAAAGAGAACATTTTCTGACTTATCGATTCTCCCCCACACACCCTCAGTTCCTCCCAAAAAATCCAAACTAGCTATCCAACCCACCTATCTGTAGTAAAATTTTCCGCTGAATCCGAAAATAATAAAAAGGAATATTTCTGACCTATGGATCCTCCACCACATGCCCTTAATTCCCGCCAAACTAGGGGGAATAGGTAGGTTGGATGGCCAGTTTGGATTTTTTTAATTTTTGGAGGAAATTGAGGGTGTGTGGGGGAGAATCCATAAGTCAGAAATTTTTCTTTTTATTATTTTCAGATTCAGTGGAAAATTTTACTAAAGATAAATGGGTTGGATGGCTAGTTTGGATTTTTTTAATTTTTGGGGGGAATTGAGGGTGCCTGGGGGAGAATCCATAGGGCAGAAATTTTTCTTTTAATCATTTTCGGATTCAGGGGAAAATTTTACTAAAGATAAATGGGTTGGATGGCTATTTTGGATTTTTTTTATTTTTGAGGGGAATTGAAGGTGTGTGGGGGAGGATATATAGGTCAGGAATTTTTCTTATTATTTTCGGATTCAGCGGAAAATTTTACTAAAGATAGGTGGGTTGAATAATTAGTGTGATTTTTTTTAATTTTTGAGGGGAATTGAGGGTGTGTGGAGGAGGACCCATAGGTTAGAAATTTTTCTTATTATTTTCGGATTCAGCGGAAAATTTTACTAAAGATAGGTGGATTGGATAGCTAGCTTGGACTTTTTAATTTTTGAGGGGAATTGAGAGTGTGTGGGGAGGATCCATAGGTCAGAAATTTTTCTTATTATTTTCGGATTCAGCGGAAAAATTTACTAAAGATAGGTGGGTTGCACAGCTAGTTTGGAGGGGGCACAAGTCAGAATTTTTTTTATTATTTTTGGATTCAGCGGTAGGGTCACGTCTCAAAAACAAGATTTTTTTTGTCGGCCAGTGTTATCAAAATTTTCATTTTTGTGGCTATTAGAAATTAAAATAAGAAAATATATAAAAAATGTATTTTAATGCGATTTCTCTCAGAAAAGTAGTTAACGTTCACAAAAACTGCAACCTTCTATTATTAATAATAAAGATACCCTAGCATGACCTCGAAAGTGGGATGATAACAGAAATGTAAATGGTGACAATTTTTTAATGTCTAAACATAGGTTCAAAAATAAACAATATTCGTTACCTATATGCAAAATGTTCAGCTTGCTTCCGAGATCCAATAAGTTGAACAATAGCAAAAAACTGTGTGTGTCCATCATTCTTTTCTTGTTTTTCCAATACTAACATGAAGTGATGACCAAAACAACTTTGCATCATTACCCAGTCTACAGCACCAGCTAGATTGATTTCAGTCGCTAAGAACACAATATCTTCACCATTGAGGGTAGTTATATTTTTGTGAGCATGCTGCAAATGCACCATTACCTTATCTAATTGGCCCTACACATAACAAAAATTATATAAAATATTATCATGTATGACGAAATACAGAAAAATGTTTAATGAAAATTATGTATAGAAAAAATTATATAAATTGGGTTATTTCCTTTAACGGCAAAGAAAAAGGAAATGTTCATTTCTTAAAAATAATATATATGGGACGTTCCATGTCAACCGGGACACCATTCTCTCCAACAATAAGAAAAAAATACGTCTGTCTCAAAATGTTTGTATACTCAAAAAAATTTCGAAATTCAAAACGGCAGCCAGAAAATAGCGACTATAATTAGAAATTTATAAAAAACTCATTCCGCTTAAAATCATCTATCCATGGAAAATATCCCAATCTAATAGGAAGTTTTACGATTTTGGACATGCTGAATCCGAATTTCATATTTTTAAAGTCCAAAAGTGGTAGGAGTATTAGTAACAGACATTTTTGAAATTTTTTTTTAGGTTTTGAGACTATATCTCTATGGAAAAAAGGATTTTTTGAAGTAGCTTCTTTTATGTTTTTTGATGTACTGACTGAGTTATGGGATTAAGTCTAAAAAAAATTGGACAATTAAAAGGGAACGTGTTTTGACCATTTTTTTGGCCTTTTTGACCATATTTCTCTGAAAAAAAGGATAATTCTCTATAAGAATCTATTTTTATGTTTGTTGACATACTGACATAGATTTTTGTTATCATGAAAACTAATAAAATGTGATGAGTGATGAGATCTGATCATTTTTTGGCATTTTTTGACCTTATTTCTTTGGAAAATATAATATTTGACCAGAAGAAGCTAATTTTATATTTTTTGACCATCTGGCTTCAATTTTTGAATACTTGAATTTAAAAAAATTTTGGGTGATGACCACGTTATTTTACCATTTTTTGACCACATTTCTCTGGTAAAAATATTTGTCTAGAAAAAGCTGTCACAATTTCAATTATTAAAGTACAAATTATTATTAAAGTACAAAGTAATTTGAGCTGTAAGAACTGGACATTTTTAACAATTTTTTGGCATTTTTTGGCATCAAGCCCCAAAACTAATAACTTCAAATCTAACATAGCCAAGATCTAAAACTAAATGCCTAATTAATCGGAACCCTAGTAATTTAAACCTACCTAATTAATTTCCTAGGTGACGAAAAATTGTGACAAAATGGCAAAATTCTTACAATCCAAATTTGATTGTACTTTACGAACTCAATAATGGAAATTATGTCAAAAAACATAAAAACAGCTTTTTCTAGAAAATTATCATTTTTACCTGAGAAATGTGGTCCAAAATTGGTAAAATAAAATGCTCAGATCTCATCATTCAAAATTTTTAAAAAATTCAAGTCTTCAAAAATTGAAGCCAGATAGTCAGAAAATATAAAATTAGCTTCTTCTAGTCAAATATTCTCTTTTTCAAAGAAATAAGGTCAAAGAATGGTAGGTAAAATAAAATGGTCAGATCTCATCACCCAAATTTAAAAAAAAAATTCAAGTCTTCAAAAATTGCAGCCAGATAGTTAAAAAATATAAAATTAGATTCTTCTAGTCATATATTCTATTTTGCAAAGAGATAAGATCAAAAAATGCCAAAAAATGCCAAAAAATTGTAAAATAAAATGATCAGATCTCATCACCCAAATTTTATTAGTCTTCAGGATAACAAAAATAGATTCTTATAGAGAATTATCCTTTTTTCCGGAGAAATATTGTCAAAAAATAGCCCGTTTTAATTGCCCTAATTTTGTTAGACTTCATAATCCAATAACTCAGTCAGTACATCAAAAAACATAAAAGAAGCTACTTTTAGACAAAAAATTCTTATTTTCAGAGAGATATGATTTAAAAATCAAAAAAATGGTCAAAAATGTCTGTTACTAATACTTCTACCACTTCTGGAATTTAGGAATATGAAATTCGGATTCAGCATGTCCAAAATCATAAAGCTTTACTTTTGGAGAGAACGGTGTCCCGGTTGACATGGAACGTCGCATACATATTTTTAACATTCTGGGCGGGAAAAGTATTAATCAATAATTTATGTCGGTAATGTTTTTCTTGGTTTAATTTATTATACTAAGTGAAAAAATAGGAAAACCACTAAATGTCAGTTAGTAATTTTGCAAAATTTTGGTAGGGTTCTATTACTCTAATGATCATCGTCCTCCGTTACAAGTTAGTATGGTCTCTTCGATAATTGAAGGAAACAGGAGAACATTATTGCCATATTGAGCGATTTGTCATAATGTAGACAATTCTGGTGTACTGATTAAGTCATTAGAAATACCTATAACAGGCAAATAAATTCTTGGAAAATTAATTGAAGCTAAAAGTTCATCTAAAAATTCTTGGGAATTGAACGATGTAATAAGACAGGAACAACAATGTATATAATTTCAAAATATAAAACAAAAGTTTCATGTTTGTTTGTTTTTTATTTCATTTTATCACCCTATGGCATAACAACTTCAAGTTGCATTGTTTATTTTTGTTTTATATACAGATACACATAAGTTTATCTTTCCTGTATTTGTTTTGTGGCAAGGCACATTTGACATCTGGTAAATTAGTGCCAGTGCAAGTTATTCCTACACCCGCCTTTTCTTAGTGAGAAATTGTGGTTAAAATATTGATTATGTTCTAATTACTTCTGTTTTTACTTATTTTTATATTTATTATAGCTATTAAAATTATGTATGTATATACTATATGATAAAATAAACAATATAAATTTGTGAGTAATAGAAGAAATAAACTTTAAAGCTACAGTTTTTAAGACATTCTTTCATTCCTTCATTGCTGTTAGAAAACACTAGCTTACAGTCTACAGTGAACATTCTTAAAATAAAACTTGTAATGCTGTTCATTGCTTATAGTGAAACAAGCTTGTCTATTCTGCTGGCAATGAATGCCAACAGAATTCTTAAAAACCGTATTTTTAAATGTGTCTTTTAAAACTGCAAAATTAATTTTAATTACCTACCTTAATTTTTTTTATTATAATGAGACTGTCCTTTGAGGTGTACTTTAAGTACACAAATTTAAGTTTTTCATCTTGAAATATAAAGAAGTGAAAGTTAGGTTAGGTTAGTCATTAAAAATAGAGTACGCATTACAATCGTCTGTTTTTAAAAAATTTTGCAAAAATCGTCCTTATTGTGTGATTTACTGTGTTATGTAATTCCTTTAAACGAAAAAAAGGAAACTGGAACGAAAAAGGTTTTAGTTCAAAATTTTGTAGAATGTGAGCGCGCGAGTAAATTAAACTTTTATGTGAATATTTATACGAAAAATTTAAGTATTAAGTAAAGTATTAATATTTTTAATCCTAACTGGTCAGATTGGTACATATAACGTATTTCTACACAAATTAGTCTTGCATAAAATTTGAGCAGTTTCTCGAATGGGGTTATTTAGGTACAATGCTACAACATTTTTATCGTAACATTTTTCGAGGCGGCGCCATTAAGTCTATGCTACACATAAGTCAACTTTGATTAAACTGAAATTTTGCAAAAGTATCTGTCATGTACATAATTAAATATACAGAAAGTTTTGTAATGTTAAACTGTTAAATCTCTAGCACCTTTAGATTTGCCTCCAGGCATACTACGAAATGTAGTGCTCACAGCATTATTAGTTTCTCTTGAGTAAACTCAATTCTCTCGGACTTTAAATAAAAAGCATACCACAATTTTGTATAAAACTCAAGGGTTTGTTTACATTTTATCTGCTTTGTCCAAGTACAAACAAATTCTATTAGAGAGGGTGGCGCTTGGCTTGAACTGCCAATATGCAGTGTATTAATAATAATTTATATAAATAGAAATCATTTTGAGGAATTCACAACAATTTACGGGAATTAAAACAGTGTCCTTATTGTTCTCCCCAAACTGGAATATGCCTCTTTAGTATGGAATTCACATTAGGTATATAGTTCGCAGTAAAAAACTTGAGAATATTCAACGGAAATATGTAAAGTACTGATGGTTCAAGTCTGATGGCTGTTATCCACCTTATGATACTTTACTTGGACGATTTGTCCTTAATGACCTGGCTTCACGACTATGTGTAACTCACTAATAAACCTGTATAAAATCATTACTGGATTGATTGATTGCCCAGATCCTCTAGCTGCCTTGTATTTTTGTGTTCCCCGCTCTGGAACCTGGTTTTCGTCTTTATTCTATCTTCCCACATCTCGAACAAGTTTATTAAAGTTTTTACTGTTGTATACAATGGTTAAAAATTACTCTTGAATGCAGAATCTTGTGGATATTTTTCATTATGACATATCCCATATTAAGAGAGTTTTTTTAGTCGTAACTTGCAATATTAGTTTTTAATCATTCTTTATATGACCTGCTTTAGGATATTATATGTGTACTAGTTTTAATTAAATATTACAAACTATTGTTTTATTGGTTATGTTAGCATTTATTTTGTTGACTGTTTTTTTTTTACTTAGTCCTATATATACATAGTGATTATCTTTTATAATTTTTTATAACTTTTTATAAGCTGTTATTGTTAACTGTTTTTTTTTTACTTTTGTACTTTATTGATATCTGATTTTGTTAATGTATCTGTTTTCATTAGCTATTTCTCCCACCTATTAATTGGTGTCAGGTGGTGTTAAATAAATAAATAAATATATGGAATTTGCGTGTGATTGTTAAATGTGTATCAGTGAATTTGTGGCATTGGAACTTAATTAACTTAATTTAATCAAATTGTCTCCTATATAGGGGATGTTTCACGTTAAATCGATCACGGGTCTCGCCAAAATTTGGAGACACTTAAATAAATAAATGATTTTCGGCATACAAAAATTTGTTCTTCCAAGTACTTTAGATGTTATGTGGCAGAATTCGAAAATCCAATAAACTCCCTCCAGTGAACATATTACTGATAAATCCGTCTCCAAATAACCTTAATTGGGACTTCGAGATCGGTGTTCATAAATCTTCAGTTATTTTCAGAAGATTCTAGATGGCAGATTTTATATAACTGCTATAAACCACAAAATTTTTATTCATAGTTTAATGGTCAATTTCACAGAGAAGACAAGTCAGACTAGTTACTTCCTATTTGGAAGTCGCTAAATCATAAATTGAAGTCAGTTCGATAGTATCGTATCACTTTCCTCAAAAAAATTTTAAAAAAAAATTTAAAAATCACGAGGCTAGTCGATTCTTGTTTTTTATGTTATTTCTTTTTTGATTTATTTGAAAATAAACACTTCTATTCTATTCTATTAACCTTAAAAAAAAATAAATAAAAATCTAAATTTTTTATTAATACCGCGATCAATCCTAAGAGACTCGTAGTTTCTCGTATTTCCGGGATTGCCAAATTGTAATTTAAAGTGGTTTCAATAAGATACTTATAATCTTATTCATAATAAAATCGATTGCCCAGATTTGCTAGAGCAACTAAGTTTTCTAGTACCACGCGCTGAGATGAGGAATCATGCAACTTTTTATTTGCCAAGGGCATGCACAAACTTATTGTTAAAGTCCCCAGTTTATTTTATGTGCAAGACATTTAATTCTATCTGTAACACTTGCGATATAAACGATTGCTCAGTCAAATTGTTATGTATGAGTATAGTAAACCATGATCGTAATTGATGCCTCTCTTGCTTTAAGTTACATGTCTTAGGTTAAGTATATTCATTTAACTCCTACACTTTACCGAACTATTGTATCTTTCTTCTTTTTTTTTGTTTTTTGTTCTTCTGATGTTATTGAGTTTTTTATATTTATATTATGTACTATTTCAATGTAATTTAGCTCTATAAATGGAATTACTTCTGTTGGGCTAATAAATTATTATTATTATTATTATTATTATTAAGATATTACATTCTGGATCCTTGGATCAAAAAAATTTAAAAATTGCGATTTTTCATTCACATTCCAGCCAGCTATAGTTTTATTAATAATATATTTAAATAAAAGTAATAACACTCTCAAAACTATTTTATTAAAGAAAAATATTGCTAACAGAAACAAAGTATACACTTTTAACATAAATACTACGTAATGACTAGTTTGTTGTAGGTTGTAATTTGTTAATAAAAAAACTTTGATTTACGGTTTAGAATAGTTCGGCTGCTTCATCAAAATTGTGTTACATCACCTTTATTAACAATAACAGCTTTAACTCTGGCAGGCATTGTATCTACCAGCTTAGCGCACTCTTGGGGTTAGATGTTTGCGCAACTGTTTCTTCATTTTAGGCCACAATGTTTCTATTGGCAAGAGCTCTGGACTGCTAAAGGGCTATTCGATAACAGGAACATAATATTTATGTCATCAATATTTTTCTTTAATAAAATAGTTTTGAGAGTGTTAGTACTTTTATTTAAATATATTAATTGTAAAATTATGCCTGACCAACTTATTATAAATTGAATCTTAAGAACATTTTTTTTTTCTGTTTTTGAGGTCAGAGCGGTCCTTGGTTCAGTTGGTAAGGCGGTTTACTCTAAAACAAGGCCATTCAAGGAGTCATGTGTTCAAATCCCGTGGATATTTCGAATTTTTCAATCTCGGATTTATTAGTGGCATTTGTACCCGGGAAACCAAACAAAAAAATTTAACGCCAATAATGGCAAAAAATTTCTTAAAATGACTATCTTTGAGAGCATTGAGGATCATCGTTCGTCGAATATTCGTAGCATTGCTTGTAGACGAAAAGAGGCCCGACATAGTGGTATAGAAGCTGATATCTTTCAATACTACTCAAGAACGGATATCGATAATGCAAGGAATCATGGTTAAATTGTTGCACGATTTGATAGGTTTCAAATCTTTCAAATCTTTTTGGAGTTTAGGTTGAAAATGTGGAGCATTATGAGGATTAAATTTTTTTTTGAGGTTAGAATCAGAACTATTGAACAGACTTTAAATTACAATTTAGCCACCCTAAAAACGTTAGCAACAATTTTGCCAACCGCCGTATACAGCTTTTAGTAACAAAATATGAAATATTAGACTTTGTTGAATAAAAAAGGTATACTTATTGAAAATGGCAAAGCCAACCGTTGAGGAGATATTTTATTTTTAATTTCATAAATTAGTACATCCAAATTTCAACATAATTTTAGTTTAAATGTATTGGCCAAAATCGTAGGAGATTATCTTATTGGTCCGTTTATTCTTCCTCGACGTGTTGGCGGATCCGAATATTTGAGATTTTTAAATGAGCCACTAGATATCCGTGAAATCATATGGTACGCACATGATGGAGCTCCTGCTCATAGTACATTAGCTGTTAGACAATGGTTAATTTTAAATTTTCCTGGGAGATGGATAGGTCGAGGAAACGATGCACCAGTCCTGCGCGATCACCGGATCTCACACCCATGGACTATTTTTTATAGGGTCACTTAAAAAATGTTGTTTATTCCAATCCTGTTGATAGTGTGGAGATGCTTGATCAAAGAATTTTTTCAGCAGCTGAGGAAGTAAAGAATGACACATATTTTTTCAATAGTTCATCGTAATTTTAGTCGTTGAATTAGACTATGCTTACAGGAAAATGGAAATTACTTTTTATTGTCACCCAATTGTTTCTCTTAAATTATCTATTCTGTTGTTAAGTGACTTAATTTTAGTTGTTTGCCCCTCCATTTAAATACACCCTGTATAAAAACTGACATCTTGAATCTTCTGAAAATAACTTAAAATTTATGAACAGCGATCTCAAAGTCCCCATTAAGGTTATGTATTTGGAGACGGATTTACAAGTAATATGTTCACTGAAAGGAGTTTATTGGATGAATCCTAATTTTTTTTTACACTTGCAGGCGCAATATTGGGCCGCCATATTGGATTTTTGAATTCTGCCACATAACATCTTAAAGTACTTGGAAGAACTAATTTCTGTACACCTAAAACCATTTTTTAAGCATATCCAAATTTTGGTGAGAGCCGTAATCGATTTAACTTGAAACGTCACATATTGATTATTTGTAATCTTTTCCAAAAATGTCATTCAACTCTCGAATATTTTTAGATATAGATACGAGGAATTTCTTCATAACTTTATTGGGACAGCAAAAATTGTTAATGTAAAATGAGTTTAAGAATTTCAGAATTGAGTAAAAATGAAACAATATTAATGAAATAAGTATTTCAGTTAGTTCAGTGAGTGCTGATTTTCTCCACAATTATTTTGTTTAAATTAAAAAACATTATGTTCATTAACTTACCTGCCAAGAACATGAAGCACCAGGGCAAGGACAGCTATAAGGACGAAATTCACAGATTTCCTCATGTTCAGCTTTCTCGTTGAGACCTAATGACATTCGACACCCGGTAGATTTATGTTTGCAAGGAAACATTAAATTATTCGCCACTTTTTCCATAGCAAGGTTTCTTATATTTCCTAGTGTTCCGCGGCATGTTGGGCAACAGGATAACTTAGGGCGGCAACTAGCACACACTAGATGTCCCACTTGACACTGCATAATAGGTGGTAAAACAATCTCAAAACAAACGGGACATTCGAAAAGGGCTGCCAATTCATCGGTTAAGGTGCCTGGGGTTGTGCTTAGAGCTGAAAGTTGTGTCGTTGAACTTGAAGAACCGGAAGATGTTTCACCACTAGCAATGCCACGTCCACGTTTTTGACTTACGACCTGAGTCATTTTGCAAACTTTTATAGATCTAAAAATTATATAAAATATTTAAATACACTATTTTTATTGCCCGTCAAATTATTAAATATTAAAATTAAACACCACCAAAAATGACGGATTTAATAAATATTTTTATTTATTTATTATTTTAATAATAAAATAATAAATTAATAAATTAATTATCAATAAGATTAAATACTATTCCAGTCCCTAACTTCAAGAAGTAAAGTGTTACTCTATTTGAATGAAAATGTTCAAAATAAGTTCCTGTAGTATAATACTATAAAAACTAAGTCGATTCCACCCTAAACGGACCACCCCACTCCCTAATGTACCCCAACCACCCCTTAAAATAGTGAAAATAGCATCACTTAATAACAGCATTTTTTGGAAAGATTCGTCACTGGCAAACTAATATTTTCTTAATAACATACTATGAACTCTATATTAACTATTTTCACTCTTATTTATCATTTTTTGCCTTTTTACCCCCTTTGAAAAGGGTGGAGGGGGTAAAAAGGCAAAGAGTAGATTTACTACACAGGTCTACAAAAAAAAAGGTATCTGTACTTTACATATGACATATGATTTCCGATGTATTTTTGTCTCCTGAACATGAATCCGTTTTGCTCCATCACCCTTCAGTCTTCAAAAAATCGCTAAAAAACCTTCAGAAAAAATAACTTTTGAGGAATGCACATGCGACATATGAGGTTGTGTGCCTGGTTTGCAACTGAATTTCTGTACCGTGTGTTTGCAACCAAGGCACCTCCACGTGGTGACAGAGGGCAACGGAGTTGTTCCACTATGGGTTACGGCTGTCACGCCGTCACGGTAACCACACGTAAAAGTGTTACGGGACAGGGGTGATAAATAAGAGTGAAAAAAGTTGATAATGTTAATATAGAGTTCATAGTAAGTTATTAAGAAAATATTAGTTTGTCAGTGACAAATTTTTCCAAAAATGCTGTTAAGTGATGGTATTTTCACTATTTTAAGGAGGTTTATCTGATTTGGAATTGACAAACAAATATTCATAAAAAAATTAATATAAGCTTATTAATATGAAGAAAATCCTCAAAAAAAATTATGACTAGTGATAGATGACCTGAGAAGAGATATTAATAAAATAATTTTTCACGATTTAGTACGAAGTCTTATGAGAATGCAGATTTGTTTGGTCTTTCCACTTAGAATGCGCAACAATTGACAAACAGTTTCCACAGCAACTTGTATAAATAGGAAATCGATATCTAAAGAACCGATTGATTGCTCGTAGAAATCGATTAGGTACTTGGAAGATACATAATTCCCCTCCTGGGAGCTGTATGACCTTGTCGTTGGTGGAGGGGCTTAAGTAGCTACAGTGAACCCAAGAGCTAAACCGGCGGGAGTTTCATACTCCTGGCAGGGTCACCCAAGTCGGAAAGGTCGAGGGAGAGTAGTAAAAACTAAGAAACATCTCAGCTACCCAAGCCAAGGTGGAAATGCATCGTGCCGAGGGCTGAATGGTGCAGGGGTAGGTAAAAATGTGGCATCGCGAACGATCTCTTTGGGGAACCTGACGCACCCCATCGTATTTAGCCTTCCGTCAGGTATGGGGCACTGCCTGGCAGTGACTTTTATTTACTCCAAACTCGTGGGACCTTTATGGACCAAGATTTTAAAAAACAGGAACCCGAAAGGGGGCCGTCTACATCTGCCGGGGAAGCAGTAAGTGCTGACCGGGTAGAAAATAAAACAGCTGCTGTAAAGCAAACACCAGTGACTGCTATCTCTAGGGGAGTCGACAGACTGAACCTGGAAGGTAGAAAACAATTGTCGGAGGCGCAAAAGCGCAAATTTAAAAAACTGCGGAAGGCAGAGGCGGAAAAAGGACATGGGCCGGTGACGGAACCTGGTCCAACTCCGCAGGCAGCTGAACCGGGGCCAAGTGGACTCGGAAAGAAGCGTAGACGGTCGGACGGTAGTGAGCCGATTTCCGACCGGGATGTTTCTAAGAGGCCTAAGGCCACAGGACAGCGTGGTAAGACTTATGGGGAGGCGCTGTCGGGGATTCAAGCAGTGGTGGTCCCCATGGATACCCGGAAGTCCGAATGGATGAGGACCAGATGAGACTTGTCCAGTCGGCGCTTCTGGGGGCCATTGATGGGATCGCGGGCGAGGGTACAAGACCGCGCTTCCTGGAGTGTCGTCAAAGGGGGGGAACGATAGCAATCACCACCTTCAACGAAGAGAGTCTGCAATGGCTGAAAATAACTACGGCGAGCTTGGTGCCTTGGGAGGGGGTTAGACTCAGCGCTGTTGAGCCTAGGGACCTACTTAAGTTCACTAAGTTCATCGTATGGATTCCGGGTCATCCTGATGAACCGGAAACCATCATGCGCCGTCTGTCAAACCAGAACGGGGAATTGAGGACGGGGGCCTGGAGGCTAATCAACCGCAAGGTTGAGGAGAAGGGCCAGACCCTAGTCCTCTCAGTAGATGAGATGAGTGTGAAGGTACTTCAAAAGGAGGGCTTCAGACCATTTCTGAACTTCACCAGGGTCTTTTTTAGGAACCTGGAGAAGGTCAGGGTAGATTTGGGACCTTCTGATGAAGATCAGGAGGGACCAAAATCTGTATTATCTGGTCAAATTCCAGGTAATACAAGCGAATATTCAGCACAGTAGAGCGGCATCTGCTGCTCTCTGTACCAGTGTGGCGCGCGCAAATGTGGATTTGACTTTGATCCAAAAGCCTTAGGTACATGGATCCTGGATCAGAGGATTGCAGGTAAGTAATGGTGGCTTACTGTATTGTAGCCACCACACTAGACCTAGAGCTTCTATTTATTACAAGAGTAGTATTAACATTTTTCCTCTTTCAGGGTTCTGTACGTATGACCTGGTGGCGGATGAAGTGGCTTGTATCAGAGGGAACGCAGAGACAACTGGTGATTTGCCTCTCCTCCAACCAAGGAACTGAGGGACCTGGTAACTTGGTGCGAGAAGGAGAAAAAACAACTCATCATGGGATGTGATGCCAACTCACACCATACGGTGTGGGGAAGCAGCGATGTCAACGATCGAGGTGAGTCTTTACTAGATTTTCTTTTTAGTTATAATCTAGAGATTTTGAATGTCGGGAACGAGCTCACCTTTGTTATAAAAAACAGAAGTGAAGTTATCGATATAACAGTGGGATCGGGACCGATATGTAATAATATTGCGAGGTGGCATGTGTCGAATGAGCCGTCAATGTCGGATCATAGACATATCCACTTTGAAATTATAACGGATTATAATCCGCAAGTAAGAACCTACAGAGACCCGAAAAGAACTGACTGGGACTCCTAGAGAACGGAGTTGCAGGCCAGGACTAGTGAAATCTGTATAAAATTAAGGAACACGTATGATTTAGAGAGGGCTGTGGAGGAACTCCAAAACGCCATCATGACATCATATGAATACAGCTGTCCTATCAAAGTGAAGTCCGACAAGCACACCGTACCCAGGTGGAGCAAGGAACTCACACAGTCAGGGGACCAACCAGGAAACTATTTAATAGAGCAAAGCGGACAGGAGAGTGGGAGGCTTATAGAGCAACCCTCACCGAGTATAATAAAGAAATTAGAATAGCGAAGAGAGACTCATGGAAGAAGTTCTGTGAGGATATTGATAGTGTCCCACAGTGTGCTAAACTCCAGAGACTTCTCTCTAAGAATGGTAATACGAAACTCAGGTCTCTTAAGGCACCGAGTGGGGAATACACTAAAACTGGAAGGGAGACATTGGAGTTACTTCTAAATACTCACTTTCCAGGCTCCAGGTTATTAAACCACAGAGATGAACATGACTGGGATCACCAGCAGAGGGTAACGACCGGGTCTCGACAGAACTGGGAGATTGCCAAAACGGTGGTGAGTCAGTCACGAATAAGATGGGCAATAAGTTAGTTACAGCAGGGGGTGGACTGTCTAGCTCCAGTTTTAAATCACGTCTTCAGAGCCAGCATTGCACTTGGTTATATACCGCTGGCATCGAGATCGACGAATGTGGCATTTATTCCTATACCAGGGCGTCCATCGTATGCCCAGGCAAAGGCATATCGCCCGATAAGTTTTAACATCTTTTCTCCTGAAAACGTTGGAGAGAATAGTTGATAGGCATATAAAGGACGAGGTGTTGAGGGCAAATCCTCTACACAAGTACCAATACGCCTATCAGGCAGGAAGATCAGTCGACACAGCCCTTCATAGCCTAGTCTCTAGGATAGAGAGGGCGATAGATGACAAAGATCTAGCTTTGGCAGCTTTTTTAGATATTGAAGGGGCATTTGATAATACACCTTTTGAATCTATTAATTCGGCAGTTCGCAACAGGGGTCTTGATGATACTTTATGTCGTTGGATAGATACCATGTTGAGAAACCGGACAGTAACAGCTACCCTTTCGGGAGAGACATAAAAGTGTAAGGTAGGCCGGGGCTGCCCCCAGGGAAGCGTACTGTATCCCTTGTTATGGGGATTAGTGGTGGACAGCGCACTGGAGGCCTTAATCAAAAGAGATTTTATACACAAGGCTATGCAGACGACTTAATCGTTTCTCATAGTCGGGAAACATAATATTATCGTTTCAGAAATCATGAAAGAGGCTTTGAAATGGATAGATGACTGGTGTAAGGGGCAGGCACTGTCAGTAAACTCTGACAAAGCGGTTGTAGTACCCTTCACCAGGAGAAGGAATTTAACTGGACTCTGTGAATCTATAATAGGGGAGAGGAGCATTAGGCTTTCCAGGGAGGTAAAGTATCTAGGAGTGATACTGGATAATAAGCTTACTTGGAATGCGCACTTGGAAAAAGTGGTGAGTAAGGCGAAGCAGACATTGTGTGTATGCCGTCGCCTTATTGGAAGCACGTGGGGACTGAAACCAAAGATGTCATACTGGTTGTATACATCGATAGTAAAACCTAGGATTCTCTACGGCGCTGTGGTATGGTGGCAAAAAAACACAACAGATCACAGCGAGGGAAAAACTGAATAGA